TTCTTTCTACTTCCAAAATGTATTAGGAAAGTATTAGACTGAAATACCCGCTATGCAGGAATCAATATCTGGGAGATAGGCGATATATGTAATTCTTCTACTGAGTTCGATGTATGTATGTATGTATGTATGTATGTATGTATGTATGTATGTATGTATGTATGTATGTATGTATGTATGTATGTATGTATGTATGTATGTATGTATGTATGTATGTATGTATGTATGTATGTATGTATGTATGTATGTATGTATGTAATGTATGAATGCATGTATGTGTGCATGTGTGCGTGTGTGTGTTTGCGTATCTCTGTCACCACAGTAACCAACACATTGCCTTCTGTCTATGTTTACTTTGAACTATATATTGTTCTACAGACGTTGAGAGCTTAATAACATATATTCTCTATATTATATCATGTAATTCCTGCCCGCTTCACAGTATTACCGAGAAACATAATTTATTACATGCTAGAGGTCAGCAGTCACATGACAGTCACATGATGTTTATCAAACCGTAAAATCAGATAGAGATGGATAGTTATTGTGAACGACAATGTTTGTTTGTTTGGCATGTACGCCATTTATCGTGGTTAATCTGCAAAACTCTTGTTGGAGTTTTCACAGTCGTCAGAGGCAGTTCCTTCTCTTTATTACCCAGCACAAATGGAAAAGAAATTCGAACGTGTACAAAAGCCATTCATAGGGAAAGCCAAAAAATCGATTTTCTGCAGATAATTGTGTAGGCCTGTCTTAACCCAACAGTGTTTCTGAATGGTAGGCGTAATATGAAGTTTACGACATATCGATCAAGTTATGTAAAGCTATGCGATAGAAGAGCACCATCTATTATTCGTATGGGACTTTCTTAAAATATTGCTAAGAGAACTGAATTACTCATCTTAAAAAACATGTTTGTCTTGAACGAAATTGGTAAAAGTACCCAGACGTGAAAAGGTCGGTTGTATTGAATCCACTCTGGTACGGCGGAATGTAAGCTGTAACCACATCTAGCCTCTCCGTAGTGGTCTCTGTAGTGTCTTAAGCCCATCTTACCACATCTAACATCCCTAGTACATCTAGGCCCTCTAGACTATGCAGTCACTTAAACCCTCTCACATCTAGCCTCTCCGTAGTGGTCTCTGTATTGTCTTAAGCCCATCTAACCACATCTAGCATCTCTAGTACATCTAGCCCTCTAGACTCTGCAGTCACTTAAACCCTCTCACATCTAGCCTCTCCGTAGTGGTCTCTGTAGTGTCTTAAGCCCATCTAACCACATCTAGCATCTCTAGTACATCTAGCCCTCTAGACTCTGCAGTCACTTAAGCCCTCTCACATCTAGCCAATACCACATCTAGCCGCTTTCGTCTCTGGCCCTTCTCGTATCTCCAGCCTCTCGCCTATCCCGTCTTAGTAGCCTATTCTTCCTAGGCCCTGGAGGTCCATGTGGACATTTGCTTCTTATTTCTCTTGTCATAATCCTATGATCGTCGTTTCGAATCCTGATTTGCTCTGATATTGGTTTCATGCTTCCCAGCGTCGTGTTCGCGTGTTTCATATGAACGTCTGAGACTTGCCTTCACTCTCGACTTTCCATTACATTAAGTTGATACACATTTCAGTATATAACTGAAATACATATTCAAAACCGAAGTCACTCACTAATGCACACAAACCAAACCACTCACTCATTCAAAACTTGTCCCCTGACAATATATTTACGATCAAACTTTCTAGAATTTACCGAAATAAAATTCGGTATATTAGATGCTGTAGGAATGTCACTGCGTTCCCCTGGCCTAACACATGTCATCGTATCCCAATGCGCAGATCGATGTTCATGATGTTTATCACGGGATTGTTTGGTCCATACCGCCGCCATATGACTGGAATATTGCTGAGGTAAACAACAAACAAACAAACAAGCAAACCCCTGGTGTAATTCCGATGACTACAGTATATTTGATTGCGACGAGCTGACTGATATTAATGTTTATATGTTTATAGCATTACTAACATTGTCCGGAGTTGAAATGCAGACATAGCAGTACTTTCCATCAGCACTGGTGCTAACGATTTGGCATTAGTTTTCTGAGTCCCGTTACACAAAGCGACCGTAGCGCTAAGATGATCGTAGCTCCATACTTTGACATAAACTTACGACAGTCATAGCGCTAAGGTGATTGTAACTCCCATACTTTGAAATAGACTTACGACAGTCGTAGCACTAGGATGATCGTAACTCCATACTTTAACATAGACCTACGACAGTCGAAGTACTAAGATGATCGTAACTTCCATACTTTAACATAGACTTACGACAGTCGAAGTACAAAGGTGATCGTAACTCCATACTTTAACATAGACTTACGATAGTCGTAGCGCTACGATCGCTTTGTGAAACGGGGCCCTGCTAATTTAGAAAATTAAGAATGAAAAAACTTGGGAAAATACCACCGTTTGTTGTGGGTTCTGTCTGTCTGTCTGTCTGATCCCTTCCTTCAGTTTTACCTCAAGAGCTCTGTGATGTATTTCTGTGCTAGTTTAACGTGACAGCCTTACGCCGATATGCTAACTCAGCCGCCATGTAGATATGCAAGGGAAATGAATCGCAAGATGCCGCCATCTCTTTCACTGCCTCGTTAGCAACACGATTGGTTCCGTGGAGCAAAGATCACGTTGTCCTCGACAGGAATGTATCTCAAAGGGGAATATTGTTGCTGCGTGTCTACGTCAGGTTTTTCATGACATTTGTATAATGACAGCTACGGGGAAATGGCGTTTTTTAGGTAACCTCTGAAGTTTTTGTCAGTGTTTTTTGTTGCTTCTACATTTCGGATGTTATCTGGTTTTATGGAAGGTCAAAACAACTAGAGATCAGGTCACTGTTTCCTTAAGGTCATAGGCGGAGGGGTAGCATTGTGGTTAAAGTGTTCGCTCGTCACGCCGAAGACCCGAGTTCGAATCCCCATGTGAGTACAATGTGTAAAGCCCATTTCTGGTGTACCCCGCCGTGATATTGCTGGAATACTGCTAAAAGCAGCGTAAAACTAAACTGACTCACTCACTCACTCACTCACTATTAGAAATGCAGGATTTGTTCTGGCAGACGCATGTGAATATTTTCATGAAAACACGAGTCATGATCTTCGCTTTCATCATACCAGCACAGCACATTGTCCCCATCGACAAAGACTGACATTTAGTTCAGAAATACATCTTGTCTAAAACTACATCATAAATAGATTTAAATATGACCAAATGGGTCTCAGAACTCTGCTTAATTCCAATAACTTAGGCACTGTAGACTTGGCAATTATTCTAGACTTGAGTTCTAGACCTGAAGTTATTCTCGTGGGTCTTGGAGACAGACTGCTGTTACCATAGCAACAAGGGTATAATCTTTTCTTTCACCATAGAAACTCACCACTCTCGTGGTAAGATTGAATATATCAGAATTATTAGATGCCGTGATTCTTAGCACGATTTAAAGACTTTTTAACGTAAAAAAACATCTCACAGACAGAATACTGTCCTCGGTAATCTTATTTCGTGGTATAAAAACACGAAAGCTCAACTGGAATCGAAACTAATTTCATCAAGCCGTTATTTTCGCAACACCTGTCCAATTGGATTAACACGTAAGAAAGATATATTCCCTTCTGTCGGGAAATCTAGAAACCCACAAGGGTTTACAGTACGTGTGCCTGTCATCTCAGGATACAATTTAGTTCAATTTTAAAGCAGCACTTTTTACCAAGAAATCAGTTACGAGTGGTATGACGTAATTCGTCCTAACACGCTCATCGACAAGGATGTATACAGCTGCAAGACTGAGTCGATGGCAACTACGTCAACTCCGACGACGAACTGACAGAAGCCTGTTAGAGTTATTGGCAGTCAGCACCAAAATGTCAAGTGAAAGAAATTTGAAGAAAAAATATATATCTAAATGTAGGAATATTTTCTAAAACTGATTTTCTGGCTGGCTGGTTGTACGTAGTGAGAAATGATTTAATCATATTTCTCTCATTCGTTTCAATACCATATATTTCAGTGTATATTGGCTGCTACAATGTGTCACTCTAATGTTTAGAAGTAAGTATTTAGATATAGTGCTGATGTTTGAACACTAATGTTTCTTACTAATTTCGGTTCCTGATAAGGGGCGGTGGGGCAGCCTAGTGGTTAAAGCGTTCGCTCGTCACGCCGAAGACTCGGTTTCGATTCCCCACATGGGTACAATGTGTGAAGCCAATTTCTGGTGTCCCCCGCCGTGATATTGCTGGAATATTGCTAAAAGCGGCATAACACTAAACTCACTCACCAGTAACATATGGCAAAAACATATGACAGCAAGAAGGTTGTAGATGCTTTTTTGATGAAACGTGTTTTGGTAGGACTCATTCCATCTGTGAAGGGGCGGTGGGGTAGCCTAGTGGTTAAAGCGTTGGCTCGTCACGCCGAAGACCCGGGTTCGAATCCCCACATGGGTACAATGAGTGAAGCCCATTTCTGGTGTCCCCCGCCGTGATATTGCTGTAATATTGCTAAAAGCGGCGTAAAACCAAACTCAGTCCGTCAGTCCATCTGTGAAATAAAACTCAGTTTAGCTCTGCTAAAGACACAATGCCACACAATCAGATGAGACTACTGAGCCGCACCTGAGCTTTCCATGAGCCAACGTGAAGCGGTCCTCACAAAATGCACTGACACGCTTTCAGACCTGTTTAACAGGTACGTTACTTAACGGAACGTTCGTTCAGAACGAAACACGCTTTTTCAGGAGTGAGTGAGTTTAGTTTTAGCAATATTCCAGCAATATCACGGCGGGGGACACCAGAAATGGGCTTCATTGTACCCATGTGGGGAATCCAACCCTGGTCTTGATACAGCAGTAACGGTTTTCAAAGGGGCTCTACCTACACACTCCCTCACTCACTCAAAACATGCGCTTGCTGAATTTGTATCTACAGAAACTCCTCATTTGCTTCTAGATCATGCCTGGCAGGGTGGAGAGCGCCGACCTTCCCGCGGCCTTGGAGACAATGAAGTGCCAGATCAAGGTACTTTATGTGTCGTAAAAACACCACAGTGTATTCTGTTGTAAAGTCCGGATTCGAAACACATACCTTTTGATAAAACAGGGCGCCTTTACCGCATGGTCAAAGATAGTCCATCCGTTCGAATCCGGTGTAAGATTCCGATGCAATCTGTAACTAAAATGCACACGTATATTGCGCCCTTTTCTGAAGCTCCCGGCCTGTCGCCCCTTCGTAGGTCCTGTGCCCATTGTTGTCTCGTCATCATGCTGCGACTAAATGCTCTATGCTTGCCTCCACATTGTATGTCAAAAATAGACAAGGTATTACTTCCCTGTCTTTGCTTCCCCATACTGTTCAAGACTAGGTCATAGTATATGTTGTTTGCTTCTCCATTTTAATTCAAGTACAGACTAGGTGATCGTGCCCCATACATGCCTACCCCATTGTGCTTCAAGGTAGTCACCCGTGAAGAACCGGGTTAGAATTGATCTTCAGTAACCCCTGTTGTCGTAAAAGGTGACTAACGGGATCGGGTGGTCAGGCTCGCTGACTTGATTGACACATGTCATCGTATTCCAATGGCGTAGATCGATGTTCATGCTGTTGATCCCTGGATCGTCTGGTCCAGGTCTGATTCTATACAGAGTATGGCGTAAAACTAAACTCACTCACTCACTTTAAGGTAGCCATTGTCATTGTGATCGATACGTAAGATGTCTGACAAGAGACTACGCAATATTATTTATCCATGCTATATATTTCAAGAGCAGACCGGGTAATAGTGTCCTATGCCTGTCTTCTTACGACGTTTCAAAAGCAACGAAGGTAAAGGTGCCCTTTGGTTGTCTTTCCAGTTCTCGAAATTGGATTATAAGGCAACCGTAGGTCATTGGTTCCTCTTTTATCTCCCTATGGTGTTTTCAGAGCTCACAAGGTAATGATGCCCTATTCTCGTCACACCATTGTGTTTCAAGAACACACAAGGCAATAGTGACCTGTTCTTGCCTCACCATTGTGTTTCAAGAACAGACAAGGCAATAGTGACCTGTTCTTGCCTCACCATTGTGTTTCAAGAACAGACAAGGTGATAGTGACCTGTTCTTGCCTCACCATTGTGTTTCAAGAAGAGACAAGGCAATAGTGACCTGTTCTTGCCTCACCATTGTGTTTCAAGAAGAGACAAGGCAATAGTGACCTGTTCTTGTTCTCACTATTGTGTTTCAAGAAGAGACAAGGCAATAGTGACCTGTTCTTGCCTCACCATTGTGTTTCAAGAAGAGACAAGGCAATAGTGACCTGTTCTTGCCTCACCATTGTGTTTCAAGAAGAGACAAGGCAATAGTGACCTGTTCTTGCCTCACCATTGTGTTTCAAGAAGAGACAAGGCAATAGTGACTGTTCTATTCTTGTTCTTGCCCACCATTGTGTTTCAAAAAGAGACAAGGCAATAGTGACCTGTTCTTGCCTCACCATTGTGTTTCAAGAAGAGACAAGGCAATAGTGACCAGTTCTTGCCTCACCATTGTGTTTCAAGAAGAGACAAGGCAATAGTGACCTGTTCTTGCCCCACCATTGTGTTTCAAGAAGAGACAAGGTGATAATGACCTGTTCTTGCCCCACCATTGTGTTTCAAGAACAGACAAGGTGATAATGACCTGGTCTTGCCTCCCCATTGTGATTCAGGAACAGAGTGGATAAAAGTGCCCTAGACTTGTATCCCCTTGGTATTCTGAAGCAAAGGTGCCCTACTCCTGCCCCCACGCTACACCCACGCTTTTCCCACCGCCACCCCAACCCCTTTTCCCTTTTTGTTCCAAGAGCAGTGTAGGTAATTGTGTCGCTGTTTACGCACACACGCACACACACGCACACACACGCACGCACACAAACACACAACTCCAACTTAACCCAACCCCCTTCATGATAGGGTCCAGGAAAACGGTCACCAGTGTATTTATGATTATGTCAAGGCCAACTTTGACCCTTACCGCTTACAAAGTCCCATTCAATATAGACTAGATGTTCCTAGTTTGCAAACGCTCGATGTCAAGCACTCAATTACTTACAGACCTATATGGCTAGAATATTACTCACTGTTAAAACTCCACATCCAGCTTCACTTCTTTTCATATTTCTCGAGGAGAACAAAAAATGTTAGATGTAGTTTGTCGTTTATTAATAGAGACCATTCGTTACTGTAGCGACGAGAATACTTGGCTCAGCGACAGCTTCGCGATTTGGAAGAATACTTGACCGAAAGGAACTTGTGGGTCATTTGAGACTTTTAGCTGGTATTTTAGCTGAAATTGTTCAAATGATCAGTGAAGGGTCTTTATCTGTCTGAGTTACGACATGTAATGATTGTCTGGCTTCACTCACTGAGTTGTTGAACGCGTTCCAATTTCACTTTAGCCATAACGAGGCTCGTGGGACAGCCATCTTGAAACTTCGATGTCAGCATTCTTTAGATTTGCCTGTTCTCTCTTTTACTCGGGGAAATTAACATTTTAGGCCTTCGACGTGTATAATTACTTATGTGCACGACTACAATGAAAATATTGATGCTGAGTTGTAAAACTGTTCGATCGGTTGTTCAATTCCCTGATCACGACTCGGATTATTGATAATGTATTGGGATGGATATCCACTCTAAAACATGCGGCATCGTATCACGGTGGGCTAGCTCTGTAAGACAAATCGGACTTAGACACGCAGCCACACGCACACGTACGTCGTTATGTAAATGAAATAATACTGAATGCCGAGTGAAACCCCACCTTACCTTCACCCTCACGCTCATCTTCACCTTAATCTTCACCTTCAACCTCAACCAATACCCACCCTCACCATCAGCCTCAGCCTCATCCTCTCCTTCAGCCTCACCCTCACCTTCACTTTCACCCTCACCTTCACCCTCACCTTCACCTTCACCTTCACCTTCACCTTCACCTTCACCTTCACCTTCACCTTCACCCCACCCTCACCTTCACCTTCACCTTCACCTTCACCTTCACCCTCACCCTCACCTTCACCTTCACCTTCACCTTCACCCTCACCCTCACCCTCACCCTCACCCTCACCCTCACCTTCACCCTCACCCTTCACCCTTCACCCTCACCCTCATCCTCCTCACACCTCACCCCTCACCCTCACCCTCACCCTCACCTTCACCTTCACCTTCACCTTCACCTTCACCTTCACCCTCACCCTCACCTCACACTCACCCTCACCTCCACCCTCACCCTCACCCTCACCTTCACCTTCACCTTCACCTTCACCCTCACCCTCACCTCCTCCCTCACCCTCACCCTCACCCTTCACCCTCACCTCACCTTCACCTCACCTTCACCTTCACCTTCACCTTCACCCTCACCTTCACCTTCACCCTCACCCTCACCCTCACCCTCACCCTCACCCTCACCCTCACCCTCACCTCACCTTCACCTTCACCCCCTCACCCTCACCTCTCCTCTCCCCCTCACCCTCACCCTCACCCTCACCCCCTCACCCTCACCTTCACCTTCACCTTCACCTTCACCTCCACCCTCATCCTCACCTCCACACCCTCACCCTCACCTCCACCCTCACCTCACCTTCACCCTCACCTTCACCTTCACCCCTTCACCTCCCCTCACCCTCACCTTCACCCTCACCCTCACCCTCACACCTTCACCCTCACCCTCACCCTCACCTTCACCTTCACCTGCACCTCCACCCTCACCCACTCCTTCACCCTCACCTTCACGTTTAATTCACCCTCACCTTCACGTTTAATTCACCTCACCTTCCTGTTTTATTCACCCTTACCTTCACGTTCAATTGACCCTCACCTCCCACCCTCATGTGTCAGCTTATTGCACACAAGCTGCGCAGTTGTGACGTGTACAGGGTTATTACGTGTACAATTACGACGTATGTTAAATCGTTAATCCACAAGCTCCCTGTATGCACGATCGCGACGTTTTAGCCTCCTCTCGCCACAAAGCCAGAGACCAGAGCAACAAGAGCTTCTCTATCCCCAAGAATACCTCCAAGCATTTCACCGCAGAGCAATAAAAGCCTAGGAATAAATTGATAGGTTCCACAGAGACCAACTTCACCTTAACCCTCGCGTTAAGTTCCACGATGCCCAAGATAGGGCTGCAACCCACGGTCTTAGACACTGGATGAACATCGCTTAATTGCTTGTTCCGTAGAGAACTTAATAAACGAGCCTTAATAAGCGTCTCGTACGGAAGCCTAAGGGCCGATGAGCCATGTACGATTCTATCTTATTCATTCTGTAGATTCCAGCCTTCATTACGAAAATCAATTATGGATATCGATCAGTTGCTCGACTACTGGACAGTAAGGCGATGGCGTGTTTAAGAACTATACCACCTAATAACGAGTTCAAATCGGGCGAATCTCGTTCCGATGAAACCGTTTATTAAGGAAGGGGTCGTTTATTCGAGGATTTAAAGTACTGGAATGAATAGATATTCTTGGAAGATGTATGAAATACAGGCAAAGGTAGTTGTTAAGGAATATGTACGGGACGTTCTGGAACCAACAAATAACCAGCGCAAACATGAAGCGGGGTAATAATCTAGTCAAGGTTGCCAGACTTCGATGGTAGAACTTCTTATATAAATATAATGATGATGTTCAGTGTGCACCACATGGCACAATGCATACTGAATCAATACAGCCACACCAAGGCAAGGGGGCATGGTACACAGGATTCATACACATTGAACTTGGGAATCGAACCCAGGTCTTCAGTATAACGAGCAATCACTTTGAACATTAAGCTACCGTACCACCGCTGTAGGCATTGAGCGAATCTTACACCAGAATGATCGATAGGCATATGTTGATGTAATGAAATTGGTTCACATTAAGTTAAGTTAATGTTGTTATAAGCCGCAATCAGCAACATCTCAGCTTCATCATGGTTGGCGACATGGACGTCCTCGAGCTGCGGGCGTGGATATCGGGCGTGGCTGCGGGCGTGGTTCATAACAGGTCCCGACGCCATC